ACCATTGCATATATTTAGAATTTACAGCTATACTGAAATAAATAATTTGACACTGTTTGGGAAACATCGTGATTGATACACAGTTACAAGGTAGATCTTATCTCTTGAGTCTAAAAGTGACTACATTTGAAAAGTGCATATATCGGTTTTTATGTACGATGTATGTTTGCATGATCAGAAGTTAAGTTGACTTTCATGACTGAAATAAAGAGAAATATCTGTATATAACTATTTTAGTTTGGAACGATATGGTGATACCTGGTTCTCCTTAAAAACTCTGCGACATTAAGGGGAGTACTGGAGCCAAAAGTTAGGATAGATGGGCAGGTATATGACAAAAAAAATGACAATACGTTACAGACTCTTGGATTCATCGCAGTATTGAATGTGGCGAGTTGGGAAACCGGCGGATGTGGGTGATTGTATCCCAGAAATAATCCCTCCATGTAAACAGAGAAATAATTTTGTTAAATATTCGATCCAAAATATGAATTCGTGTGTGTTTATTTGCACAATGGATACCACAAAAGCGTCCCTCCTTCCTTTTAGGTTGGGACAGTCTGCCTGGGACCAACCTCTCCGCCCCTCCCCGATCAGTTGATTTGGTAACAATGTTGGCCGCCGGCCGTTTCTCGTAATAAGGCAGTTATCTTTACATGTGGATGCTCGCGAAACGTTCCTGCTAATTCTTACTTATATGTTACTGCAAAACGATTCTGATCGTTGTTTTGTTGTAATGTCATGATGATGGATGGTCGACAGTGAGAAATATAATGTAATAGAAATATGTGTTGATGTTTGATTTGATATCCGACTTCAACGTGGCTAATCTACCAGATCTAGAAGCACGTGTTGTCATAGTGTGTCTATTTGCATAAATAGCCTCTAACGGTGTACAATAAGATCGATGTTGATAGCGACACGGTCCCTATTGAATCTAAACGAATCAAAGTTTGAAATATTCAAATGAGACGCTTCACGTGTATAGTGATGTCAATCAGGAGAGCTGTACACATGAGCGAGTTTTACGAGGTATTTCAGCAATCATCGTTCTGAGATGTGGCACAATATGCTGTGCTTCTAGGGGTCTGGTATCAACACCACGCTACATATGGTAGGTTTATTGCAGATAAAATTGTCAAACCTGATACGGTCCATTAATACTAGATGCTATGACAACCAGATCATATGTTGCAACAAAATGTACTGTTTTCATTTATGATGTTTGGAGATTTTTATCAACCGCTGGGGCTGCGTGGATGCCACGAACAGCGATAACTCGGTATTCAAGCTACATGCCAGTGGAGATTGGTTTGTCAGATATAGTACACATATTAATATAGGATGGACATTGTGACAAACTACTCCCTATTTTGACTAAATGTAGTTAAGTGGTTTTTTTGACGAGAGCAGCCGTATGCTAAAAAGCATGTTCCATGATGTGCATCAGTTTAGATTAAAAAATTCAAATATATGTAAAATGGAAAACAATAATGATATTTCAATATACCGAAGCAGTTTAGAATAATATCTGAAATTTACGAGGCTATCTTGACTGAAATAAGTTTCATTTATCGTGTATATGTTATAAATATTAGTTGTAAGTTGAACTTAATATTAGTAGAAAGTTGAACATACATCTTTGATGCTCATTACGCCACTGCATTACGTGAGGTTTGTTCGTGTGGAAATATTTCAGTGGGAGATGATACTTGCCAGTCATATGAACATTATAAAACTGCACAATGTATATTTCATGAAGATAAAATATGGTTTTTAATGTGCAACAGCATCGGTTATAAGTATTAAATATGTTTGGTACCGCCTTGACTTCTTCAAGCGCGAGTCTGTATTGTGAAAAGTCTGGTCCACTACGGTATATATCGTGGTATTGAAAAGGCTTCGACACAAGCGGGCGAGAAGAATGCCGTCACATACACTCCGGATTTGAGTACGTAACAAGCAATTTCCGAGGACTGATAGTTAAACAATATCGGCAATGTCAATATTGCATCCCAGATATAACGAACTAGTCATAAAGGTCTTGGAAACTATGATTGGGGTTAACTCTGGTAGATGTGATACCCGTGTCTTGGCCAGCGCTTGAGATTAATACTTATATTGGTCAAGTGGTCCAGTACTTGTAAACATGATGCACCAGGTATCTGAAACCTAGGACCAGGGTGCCGTTGTACAGAGCGATCTTAGCTCTAAGGTGATCGTAACTCCCATACCTTAACGTAGACGTACGACAGTCGTAGCGCTAGGGTTGTTTTGTACAACGGCACTCAGGGTCTCGTTTCAATAAGGATCTTTGCGCAAAGATGATCGTATTTCTCCTAACATAAGCTTACATCGCTTTGTGGAACGATACCCAGGGCATTTGTATTGTTCTGAAATATTGTGGAAGAAGTAATGTGTACTTATTTCATATCTAGAGCGGAAGGTTCGGGTTCGATGCCGGCCGCGTCATACCAAAAGACGTTAAAAGATTGTACTTGTTATTACCCTGCCTGGAGCTCGATATTAAGGCGTTAAAACAGGACTGATCGGCTCGGAGTCAGTATACTGTGTCTGAGTGGGGTATTCATGTTAAACTGCGGCTTGTATCTCAAGTGGGCTAGCACTATAAAATAGGCATTAGTCTGGACAAGCAAGCACACACACACACACACACACACACACACACACACACACACACACACACACACACACACCTCAGCTTATTTCACATCTATGTCACAGACCCATCCATGTACAATACAAATGCAACAAAATTCAGGTAGTTTAGTACATGACAATATTTACTAAGGTGTCAGGATGTTACATGGCTCATGGGCTTATTTCATAACAGTAGGAGATGGAAACACATAAATGTCTCATAAAAACTCTATATGTGTATGACAGTGGGATATTGGATTTATTCATGTTGGACTAGGGGAACATACAATACAGTCTAAGGTCATTATAACAACCGCATAGACCACTGAGGATCCGGGGTAGAATAAGTCTTCAGCAACCCATGCTTGCAGTAAAAGGCGACTATGCTTGAAGTAAGAGGCGAATAACGGGATCGGGTGGTCAGGGTAGCTGACTTGGTTGATGCATGTCATCGATCCCAATTGCGTGCTCATGATGTCAATCACTGGAATGTCTGGTCCAGACTCGATTATTTACTGACCGCCGTCATATAGCTGGAATATTTGTTGAGTGTGGCGTTAAACAACAAATAAACGTAAAAATAAAAACAAACTTTAGCGTTTAAAGGACAAATAACCCTAAAAACTGGCGTGAACACTTTGCACACCGACAGGGAGTTACACAGTAAGCACAGTATGCCTCCATTAAGGAAGAATATTATTGAAGTCAATTCTTAAATAAATCAAAATAGTTTTATTGAAGTTCGTCTACTTTAGTGTGCACAAAATGAAAGGAGTTGACAGTTTCTGGGTCATGTCGCTGGACATAATGACCTCACCCCAAAGTCTCCATGGTCTGGTGGTTCTGCTCAGTGTTGGCCTAGACGCTGCAATTAGTGTGCTGTGTGAAACTGGGACATTGTCTCCACATAATTATGGTAATCTTTGGTAATTATGGTAATCTTTTAGTGCTTGATTGGTTTAGATAATCAAACTTGGGTGAGCCCACAAGCATAATATGGAATTGGCTGATTCAAACCTGCTAGGATTGCAAAGGATGATCAAGAGCCATGTGCATCTTTATACACCTGTAGTCTCTTATATTTGCAGCTTTATGCTGATGTTGATCATTATGGTATGATTTTAGACATTCATAAATTCGTGGATGACAATGTAGCTTCTTTGAAATTTTGTATTTTGTGTTTAGAGGGCTGCTTTTCAGGGTGGTTACATGTGAAGCCCATTCTTGGTGTCCCTCTGGACATAATGATATTGCTATATTTATTTGTTTGTTTATTTGTTGTTTAACACCACAATATTCCAGCTGTATGACGGCGGTCTGGAAATAATCGAGTCTGAACCAGACAATCCAGTGATTGACATCATGAGCATCGATCCACGCAATTGGGATACGATGATATGCATCAACCAAGTCAGGGATCCCCTTATATTGCTTTAATATAGGTATCATATGATTGTACTCATTTAATCACTGTATGGCGTTTGAGGACCACTATTGACCTTTGTCCTTGTGAAGGAGGCAGGACTGAAAAAACAGCTTTCGGAAATTAAAATAAGGTTTTCTCTCTTAACGTTCTGTTTCCCACTGTTTGTTTGTTTGTTTGTTGCTTAAAGCTGCACTCAGCAATATTCCAGTTACATTGGATATGACGGCGGTCTGTGAATAATTAAGTCTGGACCAGACAATCCAGTGATTGACATCATGAGCATCAATCCACGCAATTGGGGTTAGTTGTGTCTTACGACAAGCATGGGTTGCTAATAATCTATTCTAACCCAGATCTTCTCAGGATCTGTGTCCCGCTGATACCTACCGGTATCAGTACAATATTTCAGTTATATCAGGCCTGGGTGATTTAATATGGGAGGAACCCCTCAGGACACAGGTAGAATGTGTCCCCAGCACCCCCATGCTAGTGTTGGATAGGGGGTCAGGCTGGTGCCTTGGTTGATGGCATGTCATACCTGGAGGGGATGGATCCTTGCTCATGATATCAATCACTGGATTGTCTGATCCATTATTTACAGGCTGACATCATATAGCTGGAATACTGATGAGTGCAGCCTTAACAACAATTATACAAATAATATTGGAGGGAAGGTCAAAGTGATTCAAGATGTAGAGGTTGATCAAAACAACATCATCAGCATGGTATGTAGTGCTGACAGACTGGGGAAGATCTGGAAATGAATCCAGCGGATCCTGGCATTATTAAGGGAGGTAACTCTACACTCAGAGTAACAATGCCTTAGACAACTGGACCACTAAGTCCTTTATCTATATGAAAAGATGTGTATTGTATTAATTCCCATCAGATAATGGTTACAATCATCTTTCAGTGTCAAGTGATGAGCCCTCTATCAAGGTTGAAGATGGAGGACAACCAGAAGGTAGGAGACCCAAAAACACTCTCAAACCTTACTGCTTCCCATCTATCTAGATTGAAATATCCTGGGACCCGTTTCACAAAGTGACCATGGCTCAAAAACATCCATGGTTGGTCTATGTCAGAGTACCGGACGGTCGTAGCACTTCAAATGTTTTGTGAAATGGGGCCATGAAGGGATTCTTGGCAGAATAGAATTCTGGGGCCCGATGGCTGGTTTCCTGTCTATGAATTACTGGCTTGATTATTTACAGGCAGTCATAATAATTGAGATAATATCATAGAATGCAAGAGTGGATCAAGCATTTTTGAAAGGGAGGGGTTCCAAATATGAAAATCCTCTCTCAGATAGTTAACTGCCGACAACATTTGTTTGAAAAAAGACAGGGGGGGGGCCTGAACCTCCCCTTTGGATCCGCCTTAGGCATAGCAAAACATTAACTCACACGTTAAAAGGGCTGATGTTGTATGAGTACTTGGGCTGCTTTTAGCCCAACAATGCATCAACGTCGTGAAAATTGTGTCTTTTGCAAATGCTATATTCATAAGACTCCTGAAGTGATATTGCTGGAATATTGCTAAAAGGGCCGTTGAACCATACCCACTCACTCACCATTAATAAGACTAACCACTCATATAGCATCATGGAAAGATTAACATGTTGATTTTCTTTGACCAATTTTAGCACCAACACCAGATGTGTACTTTTTATACACCCCAGGCAGCTGAGAATGAAAATGGGTAATTTTGTTAGTGTTTTGAGCATGCACAGAGTGTATGGAAGCTAGCACAATACAGTAAACTACGGTTATCATGAACTCAAAGGGACCAGTAATTTTAGTTCGTTATAACCGTATTGTTATAAGCATACATGCAGCATATATACAGCTAATGGCTGTGACAACAACAAAAAGTTTGTTATATCTGCCAGTTCTTTATAAGCGTGTTGGGTATGAATATAGTTTACAGTATATGTACATACATTATTACTATTTATTATTGTGTGTGGATATCCCAACAAAGGCCACGTTTCCACAGCAAATTTCACAAGATAATGAGATACACACAGACAATATTTATAGATAATGACCAAGGAGACAAGATATATTGGACAGTGCCTGAGTGTCACATAGTCACATTTCCTATCGGTTGCTAACAGCCAGTTAGATTCCTATCTACGTAATGTAGATAAGCTGTGGAATCCAAATACCACATCAAGGTTGTCAAAATGTCGTCATTACTATAATCAGAGTCTGCAGCCATTTTGAAAACCACAAGACTCCCTTCCCAACACAATCACACACACTTTTGGATGGGCGTCGTATCAACTTTTGAGACTGCAGGGATGCAGCGTTGCGGGAACCGTGTACTACCTGACTACAGCCTGGTTCTCTAGGTCGCGCCAGCGCAGCATACCCAGGGAACCGGGCTGCCCCGATTAGTGATAATATACAAGGACACCCACTAAAAATTCTAAAAATTCTACTAGCTCTTAGGATACGAGGCTAACATTTAGTCTATGAAATCTTATATTACACAATATCCTTCTTGACTCTAAAAAAAAAATGTTCTCTATGCTGATTTGTGGAATAGAGTTAGCTAGAGCTGGCTAGACTTGTTTTTGTATGCGTTTCTAGATTATTGTTTTTTTTCATAAAATATATATATTCCACAGTCATGGTGCAAGACTATTAGGATACCTTCACCATTAGATAAACTTTCTCAGGCTAGTGGGCTTGAGCCGAATTGCATCCCAGGAAAGTCAATCAACTAAACATGATTTTCCTTGGATATATCATCCAAGGCCCTGCATTGTCCGACCTATGAAATTTTAATTCTCTTAACTTGTTAAAACTAAAGGAATCAAGTACTAAAGGTAGAATGAGGATACTGCATTATATTATTTAACTAAATGTGTTTTTGGTTGCTATTTGTGTGAGTGCCAGATTAGTTTGGTACATCTTTTAACAGACTGCTTGGTGGAAGCAGATGGAACTGTTCCTGGTTGCTTTTGAAAATACAACAAAATTGAAAGTTGTTTACCAAAAAAATCAAATCAGTCCACCATGAGGCAAGATAATTGAAACTGTATGTGAATAATATTGGCTGTTAAAAGTTCAGGTTTGTTTGACATATAATATTCAAAACTCAACTCAATCAAGATCATGTTTATCAGTTTGGGGGCAGTCATTAGTCCTGCACCATGACTGTGGAATTTATATTTTTTAGGTATTTTCTAGTTTTACTAAATGCCTAGGCAAGTCAAGATCAAACTAACCATCTCTAGTTTGCTTGAATCCACATATGAAAACAGCAGAAGAGGACAGGCTCTTTCGAAGACATTTAAAAAATATATATTTTAAAGACACGTTTTCATTGACTAAGTGTTAGTCTAGGCGTTCATATGAACAGATTCTTACATTGAAAAGTAATTCAGAAATGATTCCAGTTGCTTTTTATACAGATTAATAAGTTTTTGTTTAGTTTTAAATGTATTAATAATAATAATAATAATAATAATAATTATAATTAAAAGAACATATTTGACAACAAGACATGATATGTTCCAATCATTGCAATGATAATCGAGCTTTTTATCATATATATTTTTTTTAATTTGAAAAAAATTCTCCAGCTCTTGACCATTAAAAGAAATATAATTAAAATATTTCAGAAATAGACCTTCACTTCATTAAACGGGTGTTTTAAAGTTTTATTTCCAAAAGTTGTGTTTCTTTCATGTTTGTACTGTTATTCAGCTGCCATCCAGTAGGGATGGAAACTTGGTGCCTATCACACATTGAGCAGCCTTTACTTCACTGCAACACTTTTATAAATATATTTCCTAATATGGAGAAGAAATGATTTTTTTAGTTTTTTACAGGTCAGATTTGTTTTATTCATATTCATAGTGGTAGTATTTGCTCTATGGTGTTTCGATTCATTGATTAAGCAAAATCTTTCACAAACTGTGAGAGATCTCAATCTGACTCTCCTTTTGAAAAGGCCCTTTTATGTATAATTCCAATTCAGCATATTGTCAAAGGTACATGGAGATACAAATGTATAAATGGTTTTGGTAGTGGCTGATGATATTTGGAATTGGTAATATCATTTACTCAAATTAAATATTCATTTAGTATGGTCAGTTCCAACACAACGTATGTGACACCATCGCTTACGTGTGAATGTGAGTCTATTACAATCCTTATAACTCTGATGTCTAGATCAGTTTTTTTACAGTGGATTTCAGTAGTGATATATGGATTATTTTTACTGAGCTCACTCCGAAGAAAATGGAGATTTTAATACAAGCATGTATGTCATACAGATTTTATGAAATGAGTGACCAAATACTTGTATTTTGTATTATTTCTTATTCCTTTTGAGCTCCCCTTTAGAAAAATGCACTCCTCATGACCACCCTCTTAGGAAACCACAATCGTCACATGACGTCAACAATCTTCAGCTAACACTTCGTTTCAGTTAACGTCATTCTGACCTTACATCTCAATAAGATTTGAATGATGTCATTCTGACCTTACGCAAAAATAAGTTTCAAATGATGTCAACAATGCTGTAGTAAATAATACACTGGCATGTGTGAAGCGGTAGTGGTTCCAGTGCACACGTACAATTTGTATAAACTTGGTTATTTCTAACCCTATGGGTAACAATTAAGTTTCTTAGAAACTAGAGTAACACCTTCTTGTGGAGCACTCATCAAGCATACGTATACCTGTTGAATTAAATTTTTCTGTCACAAATGCAGTATTTCGAGGCACACAGAAAAGTCCAACATATATTTTTGATCAGTATTTGGGTATTCTATTAACTAGTGAATTATCTAGTGTTGTTCCAATTTATCAATTTATTGATGATTGAGTGTTTTCAGTTTCAGTTTGATCATGAAAACTGTGACTGATTAATTTGTACCAATATTAATTTAGTGAGTGAGTGAGTTTGGTTTTACGCCACTTTTAGCAATATTCCAGCAACACAAAAAATGCAATAAATTTATTATTTTTCTATTTTCATTTATGATCAATCATTAATCAACAACTGATTGTTTTTTTCAAACCAATGATCAATCTTTAAAGTCCATCAGAAGAATTATCTAAGGAATACGGACCTGTCATTAGCATTACTTCAAATAAAATGTCAATGGTTGAGAATAACCAGTCTCAATCATCCACCCAAACTGATTCCCCTGGGCGTACAAGGCAAACTAGTGATGAAAATTATATGAAAGGATCACTACAAAACAGTGATGACACCAGGTGTTCGCACATCACAAAACAGTGATGACACCAGGTGTTTGCGCACTACAAAATCAGTGATGACACCAGCTGTTCGCACACCACAAATCAGTGATGACACCAGGTGTTTGCGCACTACAAAACAGTGATGACACCAGGTGTTCGCACATCACAAAATCAGTGATGACACCAGGTGTTCGCACATCACAAAACAGTGATGACACCAGGTGTTTGCGCACTACAAAATCAGTGATGACACCAGGTGTTCGCGCACTACAAATCAGTGATGACACCAGATGTTCGCGCACTACAAATCAGTGATGACACCAGGTGTTCGCGCACTACAAAATCAGTGATGACACCAGCTGTTCGCGCACTACAAATCAGTGATGACACCAGGTGTTCGTGCACTACAAATCAGTGATGACACCAGGTGTTCGCGCACTACAAATCAGTGATGACACCAGGTGTTTGTGCACTACAAATCAGTGATGACACCAGGTGTTCGCGCACTACAAAATCAGTGATGACACCAGCTGTTTGTGCACTACAAATCAGTGATGACACCAGGTGTTCGCGCACTACAAATCAGTGATGACACCAGGTGTTCGTGCACTACAAATCAGTGATGACACCAGGTGTTCGCACACTCCAAATCAGTGATGACACCAGGTGTTCTCGCACTACAAATCAGTGATGACACCAGGTGTTCTCGCACTACAAATCAGTGATGACACCAGGTGTT